GTGGCCATGCTGGAAGCATGGGCGGGCTTAGAAAGTTCTTAAGCCTTGCTGGGTCTCCAATCCCTTCCTGTGCCTGCTTCAAGATGTGAGGGCTTAGATTCTGCTCCTCCTCCAGCCACCTCTACTGCCATGCCTCCCAGCCATGATGGACTCCTGCCCCTTTGGAACCCTAAGCTAAATATGCTCTTCTTTTATAATTTCCCTTGATCATGCCGTTTCTATCACAGTAACAGAAAAGTGACTAATACAGTAGGCGTGGTGGAACACTCCTTTAATTCCAGCACCCAGGCGGCAGAAGCAGGCAGATCTCTGAGAGATCTAGGCCAGCCTGGTCTACCCAGTGAGTTCTAGACAAAAGACAAAAAAAAAAAATTGGAAAAAATGTTTGTTCAGAATATAAACATTTTTATCTTGTTGTTATTCCCTAATAGTATGATATAGCAACTGCTAAAATAGCATTTGTGAGGGATTATGCATTATAAGTAATCTATAAGTGATTTCACGAATATTTGGAGGCTGTGTGTATATTATATGAAAATTCTATGCAATTTTATATGAGGGACTTTAGCATTCACAAGGACAAGTGCATAGTAAATGTCTGGTATTCAGGGGGCACAGTAGGTTTTGAAGCCTATCAGCCAGACTTCAGAAGACACAGTTGATGCAGAAGTCCTCCCATTCTGCAAAGAAGTGCAAGATAGGTTTGTTGTTGTTGTTGTTGTTGTTGTTGTTGTTTAGTGTTTATGAGTGTTGTGCATGCATGTGCGTAAGTGCACCTGTGTCATGTAATACACACGGAGGTCAGAAGAGGGTGTCGGATACCCTGGAACTGGAGTTACAGATGGTTGTTAACCACCACGCAGGTGCTGGGATTTGAGCCTAGATCTTCTGCAAGAACAACCAGGGCTCTTAACCGCTGAGCCATCTCTCTAGCCTGAGTGCAAAATAGTTTTAAAATACAAATACAAATAAGGGGCTGGAGAGATGGCTCAGCAGTTAAGAACACTGACTGTTCTTGCAGAAGACCTGGGTTCGAATTCCAGTACCCACGTGACAGCTAACAACTGTCCGTAACTCCAGTTCCAGGGGATTCTACAGCCTCTTCTGTCCTCTGCAGGTGTTGCACGACACGGGTGCACTTACCTACATGCAGGCAATACATGTATACACATAAAATAAAAATAATAAAAAATATTTTTGAAAATACACAAATGAACTAAGATGAGAATCCGTAGGTGCTGGAAGTCCACAGGGAATCCAAGGTAAGGAAAGTGAGCTGCCAAAAGTCATATAGACTCATGGTGTCCGAGGTTCTGTGTGAGGAGAGCTATGTCTAAGGGTGGTATCTGTGTGTAAAGCCATACTGCAGGTGGGAGGTGGGTGTGCTTAAGTAAACTCCCTAGAAGAGCTATATCTGTGAAATTCTACCCGTGAGGCTGAGCATTCGGGAAACAGCAGCCAAGTTTGCCTTCTGCTCAAGCCACGAAAGCCCTGTGAGCCACTAGACAAGCCAGCACCACACACAGGCAGCAAGTTCAAGTTCCCACCACCACTACAGTGTAAATCTATGTAAATGAACAGTAGGCAATGCCAGACTCGGTGGAGGCTGAGCTTACAAAGTTAATACTCTCATAAATAAAGAACAGACATCAATATGTAAAGGAAGAGAAAAAGAAAATAGATTTGAAAAGAAATCAGAGAAAAGGAAAATTCAAAAAAGTGCATCAACTGTGAGGGAAAATTATAGCTAATGCCACATATATTGACTTCAAAGACATTTTTTTCTTTCAACCAGAAAGAAAACTTTTAATTACATATTTAGAAATAATGCTTATTTTTTAATAAATATCCCTGAGTGTAAAAGCTACAGATTAAAGTTTAAGATGAAATGGAACGTGTGCTCACCAGCAATCCCAGCATGTGGAAGGCAGAATGAGACCTTGTCTCAGTCAAGAAATCGGGGAGAGGAAGAGAGATAGGAAGAGAAGGAAGGGAGGAGGATAAATAGGAACACGGGTTATTTATTTATTCATTTATTTATGTGTATGAGTGTTTGCCTGCATGTACATGTGTACAGTGCCCACAGAGGCCAGAAGAATGTGTCAGATCCCCTGGAACTGGAGTTGTGGATGGTCGTGAGTTGCCAAGTGTGGGTGCTGGTGACGAAACACTCTGCAAGAGCAGCCAGTGTTCTTAACCTCTGAGCTATCTCACCAGCTCAGGGACACGGGTATTAATAAAAGGAGAGCCCTGGGGACCGTCATGTGTCCATTGAAGAAGACCTGTTCCAAGTGCACATATACTAAAATGGAAAATGCTGGAACCCCTGCCATCAGTGTCCTGGTTCTGCTTTTCTAGTAGGATTGGTGTTTCTCAACCCAAACGTGAAACATTTTACATTCTCTTCCAGATTTCCCTGTCTCAGTCCTTGCTCAGCACCCCTGTGCCCCCTAACCAGCCTGAAGTCCTGGGCCACTTGGCTGCCGTGGCTATGGCTCCATTTGCAGAGCAACATAATCAAATTACAATATTGTTTTAATAACTCTTAATTTCAGAAAATACGTTGTGTGGCTGATATTTCTTTCAAAACTTTAATGTGGATTTTTCTCACTGTAAATTTATGGTAATATACTGATGGACTAGATTTTGGGTCATTCTAAAACAACTGTTGAGTGAGCATCCTTTTGAAGTGATCCACAGTGCACCCCCAGGACAGGCAGACAGGCATAAGTATCATAAAACCCATCCCCCCATCCCGCAGGTTGCTGGCTCCAGGCGGATCATCCTTTGCCCACTCAATTCTGAGCTGTCCCAAGATAGCCGTTTTTTTTTTTTTTTTTTTTTTGATAGCCTTTTTCTTAATCTTTGTCATTCCTCAGTATATTGTAGGCAATTCATTACTTGTTGATGAATGGATGAATGAATGAAAACACTTAAAATTACCAAGTTAGATGTGTGTTGTTGTACATTAGGCCCCAATGGCCCTCAAGTTGTTCTCATCAGTTCTGTTTCAAATGAAAATGTTTAGCTACAAACCAGACATGTTGGACCTTAGACAAGAACTTCCTTTGGTATTTGTTTTTGAGACTAGAGCATCAAGAAATCTTAAGAGTACACAAAGAGCCTGCAAAAGTCAGGGAGAGTTGAACCAAGGGCAGCAAAAGCAGTTAGAATAAATGAATAATTCTGCTTTTTAAAAAAATGTACTAGCCTTTTACCACATAATAAAGAGAGGGAGGAGGGAGACGGTGTTGGGAGAACCAGAAAGCTGCCTATCAGACAAGAATATAATCCCCTTTCTCTGATACCTTCTCCTAGAGGAAATTTTACATTTTCTTTTTCTATTTATTTATTTATTTGTTTGTTTATTTTTGTCTTTTTGAGACAGGATCTTCCTGTAGCCCCAGCTGGCCCAGAACTCGCTATATAGACCAGGCTGGTCTTGAGTTCACAAGAGATCCACCTGCCTTTGCCTCCCAAGTGCTGGGATTAAAGGCGTTTGTGAACTTTGCATTTTCTTGTAGGTAGAGATCCATAATGAGCTGAGAAAACAGAGATGACCCTTCTGTACAGAATTAAGACAGCATTCCATTAAAGTTTTTATCCTGATGATTCTAAATTAGGAAAGGAAGGAAAGGGTAGAATTCATATTAAGAGAGGGGGCTGAAGTAAGTTGAAAGTCTTTATAAAACCAAAGTAATAACTCCAACTGAAGCTGGACCTAGACAGCTGGTATAGGTCGTGCTGGATGCTTTAGTGTCAACTTGACACACCTGGGTTGACAGAGCCTCAATTGGGGAATTGCCTCCATGGGACTGGCCTGTGGGGCATCTTCTTGATTGTTGAAGGATGTGGGAGGGCCCAGCCCACTGTGGGTGGTGCCACCCCTGGGCAGGTGGGCCTGTGTTGCATAAGAAAGCAGGCTGAGCATGGGCGGGGAGCAAGCCAGTAAGCAGCATTCCTCCATGGCCTGTGCTCCAAATCCTGCCTCTAGGTTCCTGCCCTGAGTTCTTACCTTGGGCTCCCTGATGAACTGTGACCTGGGAGATGTAAGACAAATAAACCCTTTCCTCCACAAGTTGGTATTGATCAGAGTGTTTTGTCTCAGCAGTGGAGAAACAAACTAGGGCACAGGTCTTGCGGAATCTTCTGTGGAACTCAAGGCATACCAACCAAGTTTAGCCAGTCAGCTTTAGGACAGTTTATCTTCCATTTGCCATCTGACCTGTGTGGAAGAAGGCTTGGCCTTAATTCCTGTTTGCATTTTTCAATAACCTCTTTTCCTAAAAATAATTCTGCTGAAGGTCAAATAATGTTCAAGGGCAGAAGTTTAAAAGATGTTGAATTACATTCTTGCATTAGGAATTCTTGTCCACTAACAAGTCAACTGCATTCCTTCTGCATTTAGCCACTGGGTCCTGTTTCGTTTTTAGTAAAAGAGTACTTAGCTCTTTTGAAATGGTTGCAATTAATGTAAAATGTTTGTTTTATTAGCTTTTTTATTTGAAATGTAAATAATTTTTCTGCTTTTTCATATTCAAAAACTATGCAGAGTATTGTGCTTAACATAATCACCAACTAGTTCATTTGAATGCAGGGTGAAGCCCCAGAATCCAATAGTTTATGCTACAGGAAGTTAAGATCATTAGCACTCTAAGAATAAAAGACTGCTGAGCGCAGTGGTGCATGCCTTTAACCTAGGAGAGGTAGGAGGATCTCTGTGAGATTGAGACCAGGCTGGTCTACATAGTGAGTTCCAGGCCATCTGGGGATACAGGGAGACCCTGTCTAAAAAAAAAAAGTACTGCACCCAGTGATACAGAGCTCACCCAGAGCCTAGGGGGGGATCTGGTTTAACTTTTCAGCTTCGGTTTTGTTTTTTTTTGTTTTGTTTTGTTTTTGTTTTTTAAACAGCCCTTGTAAAATCCTCTCTGTAAACACAGTCACTCAGAAACTGTAGCCAATGAATAAAATGTGTCACTTTTGTTTCCTTACCCCAGGTTGTTGGTGTAGCCCAGGCCATCAACAAGAAATCAGAAAATGGTGGGACATTCACTGAAAAAGATGAAAAGGTACCAAAACTTAAGTGTGGCATGATGCCAACTTAAGATGCTTTTTCATTACAGTATATCAACCTCTTGAGTTAAGTATTGCTGAAATGATTGATGAAGAAAAGCATGATGGTTAGTATTTATTTGGTTAACTCATGTTGATTAGACTCCAGAGGGCCTGAGTGTCAGAGGAACTGTGCTATCAGCCCTCCTTGAGCTAGGTGCACATGAGGGCCACACAGAAAGTTACCCCTTAAGATGCTTTTTCATTACAGTATATCAACCTCTTGAGTTAAGTATTGCTGAAATGATTGATGAAGAAAAGCATGATGGTTAGTATTTATTTGGTTAACTCATGTTGATTAGACTCCAGAGGGCCTGAGTGTCAGAGGAACTGTGCTATCAGCCCTCCTTGAGCTAGGTGCACATGAGGGCCACACAGAAAGTTACCCCGGTATTTAACCATCTCATCTGCTGTTAGTGCTGCTATACAGAGGTTCACCCATGAGAAAAAACAGTATTGCTCCCAGTTCAGCACTCTGCACTAGCTGGAAACTGGAGGCTTCATCCTGGTAAAGTGAATTTCCTAGTTATATAAACTTTGCACACAGACTGCAGGGCACCAAGGTGTGAATCAGAGTGGGTGATATTAATTTAGCTTCAGAAAGCAGCACCTTTTATTATATTTCACACACCACACTTAACATGCTTTGCATTTCAGCACTTCCTTAAGTATGTTTATATCTTCATTCTGTCCGTAGGTTTATTACTCTTGTCTATTGAATATGTGATGATGTACATCATCATAGCCCACTGTATTCCTACTGCCCCATACCCATGTGTGCTGATCTTCTGAAAACTAGTTGGAGCTTTTGAATCTGGAAAACATTCAAGCAAGGCAGTTAATTTTGTTTCTGTGATGTAGCTGTATTGGCAAGTGTGTTGACATAACAAGTGCCTTTTCACATCAGAGCAGTGCACATCTAGCTGGCCTTCTCTGCTGCTGTTGACACCTGAGGCTACTTGGTAGAAAAGCATAATACTTAGATCTGTTTAATGTTAGATCTGTTTTATGTCCACTATTTATTTATAGTTTGTTAAGGGGAACCTGTGGTGAATCAATTTGCAATTTCAGACTCCATAGATATGGTTAAATACTGCCATCTAAAGATGCGTTTTAATCAATAACTAGCATATAACTGGGCATACCACCTTATTAAAGTGTAATAGGGATGCCAGATTCATATTAAAAAGAATATATTTAAATATATGCAAACTAGGATTTCCGACCTTTATAACACTTAACTAACATTGCTATGGCCGATATCCTCTTAAATACATGAGCTTTCATTTGCCGTCATAGTAAATGAGCACCTGTTTGTTTGGCCTTAGAATAGACTTGAGTTTTCACATCATATACAACTGACATCAAACTTTGCACAGAGGAAGGTTATATATTATATAAAGAAGTCGTCCTCTTAGTTCCCCTTCTCCTTCCCATAATACACGACATAAGGAGACTGTGTTAACACTTATCTCCTACATGTACCTTTTAGCTAACACTTGGGATGACTGAGTTCCTAATTTTATGCATAACAAGCATCTGCACTTTGGGCCTTTAATGTGTATTTTGACTGTAAGTATTTGTGGACGCTGTTGATGTTTCAGGCAGTGTTACTAGATGGTTTTTTAGGAATTCTGACCTGCTTTTGTCTTCTGTCTTGTAGGACTTTGCTGCTTATTTGGCATTTTGTGGTATTGTTCTTCACAACGCTCAACTCTATGAAACTTCACTGCTGGAGAACAAAAGAAATCAGGTCAGTACGATTCCTTTTTTATGAATTGTTGTTTTTATCCAAGTCATGAATACACATAATTGAAATTCAAATTGCAGGGCTTCGTTTTCGAAGCCCTGTCTCTTCTGCCAGTTCTTTCCATAGTCCATGCTCAGTTCCTTTATCACTGTTAAGACAACAATCTTTGACTGGAGAGAGACTTACTAGCTGAGGATACATTCGTGTCATTAGATAACACCTCTGAGTGCCTGACTCATCAACTGTCGACATCACCCAGAGGAACATCTTAGCACCCTTGGCCTCCCTTCCGTGTCTGTCCCAACTCTCACTTCTCAGATCTGTTTCCTCAGCTCATTTTTTTTCTTTTAAAAAATATTTTGCTTATTTATTATTTTAATTTTCTTTATCTGTAAGAGTGTATTGCCTGCATGTAAGTGCACCCATGTTGTGCAATGCTCCCAGAGGTCAGAAGAGGGCGTCTCTGTCTTTGTTTTCTTTTTATTTATTTATTTTTATTTTATGTGTATGAGTGTTTCCCCTGCCTGTATGTAAGTGCACCTGTGTGTGGAATGCCCATGGAGGTCAGAAGAGGGTATCAGATCCTCTGGGACTCAGATTTTCAAATGGTTGATATCCTGCCATCTTGGTCCTGGGAACCGAACCTGGGGCTCCTACAAGAGCAGCCAGTGCTCTTAAGCACTGAGCCATCTCCTCAGCCCCAAGGTCTCTTTCGTATGTCAGGTCATCCTATCGAGTCTGGAGATTTAAAATACACCTTCAGTTCTGTGCAGTCATTTTGACCATTTCCTTAATAATCACCTTGTCCATCCTCCCACTTCTCTTTCTATGGCTTTCTAGTGAGGATATAGCTCAGTACTAAGACTCTCTGACCAACAGTTCATGCTAATAAAGCATTGGCCCTTTAGTTACCTTAAGCTGCATAATTCTCCAGATTGCCAGTCTTGCTACCTTTTATTTCAGTCCTCATTTTTAGTGTTTCCCAGCCAAGCTATTTGGAATCTTGAGGCTTGGTGGGGTGGACTTTTCTCACACTGCATTCTGGACTCCTGTGCCTCTTCTCATCACCTTCCCAACGTCAGAATAGCATCTCCTGCAGTAAATCTTCTAGAGGAAAGTTCTTTCTGCCCCTTATCACATGAATGCTTTGTGAGGTTAGAACAACTGTGCAGTTCAGAGGCAATAGATCTTACTGGAAAGCCACAAAAGCAACTCTTAAAACTTTGTTTGCTTTGGACTTTTTAAAATATATTTTTATTTATTTTTATTTAATCTGTATGCCTATATTGCCTGCATGTATATAAGTGCACCCATGTTGTACAGTGTCTAGAGTTACAGTGTTAGCTGCCATGTGGGTGCTGGGATTTGAACCCGGGTCTTCTGCAAGAACAGCCAGTGTTCTTAACTGCTGAGCCACCTCTCTAGCTCTTGGCTTTGGACTTTATACTTTGTGAAATATTGATAATGTTGGTAAAACTGATAGCAGAAGTTGACAGTAATGATAACCATGCATTTTCAGACAGATACTTTTCACATTACTTTAACCTAACTGATTACTTTAACTTGAGAACCATGGATCTTTCCAGTATATTAACTAAATTATTGATCAGCACAGAATTTTGTTAATAAGCTAAGAGGAAGCACATTTAATACTTGAGTGTGAACTTAAAGTCAACCTTAACCTACTCTGTTGCTTTTAAAACTATAAACAGCTATGTTGTCCTCCTTTCTTGTCTAGGTGTTACTTGACCTTGCCAGCTTAATTTTTGAAGAACAGCAGTCATTAGAACTAATTCTGAAGAAAATTGCCGCCACCATCATCTCCTTCATGCAGGTGCTGAGGTGGACCATTTTCATCATGAATGAAGACTGCTCTGTGAGTAGAGTGTGGCTTTATCTTTAGCAAGACAGGAAATTATATTCCTGAAAGCACTACTTTTAAACCTTATTTTTGCCTCACCAGATACATGGGTAGTCAGAGTTTGAGCTATTTTTTAAGTAAGATTCAGGTGAGGCTGGTAAGCACTTTTAGTGCCCTGACTCTGACCATGGATGTCTGTGTGCTGTCCCTGCCAGTGGCTGCTCTGTCTTGATGGGGACACACATTGTCACTGCAGTGTGGAACTGTGATGCCCCAGTAGCTATGAACAGGTAGACTTCCATTCAGGATGGGTTGAATATAAAAATTTATTTTTATCAGACATCTTTAGGAAACTAGCCTAGATCAGTCAAATGTGGAAATTAAGGTATTTGTAAGTTCTACATCATTTGCCAACAACAGAAACCACTAAGCTGTTCTAATTTGTAGCTCTCTTTCCACTGATGTTTAGTTTGGGGAAGCCTTCCCTGGTGCGGGTAACAAGCGAGAGTACTCTCACCAGGGCTACTTACCCTTGCACGTTATGTGGGCCATCTGCCTTGAGTTTGCTGTGAGAATCAGGCCACTGTGGTGAAGCAGTTTTCCTTTCCCTCCTCAGTGTATGAACCATTGCTTCTGGAGTATTTCTTATGGAAGTAATTGTTTCTTCTTTTAGTCCAACACCAGGCTGTTCCTTGGTGGGGTTACAAAGAAAAAAAATGGTCCTACCACTTGAATAGGACAGGTATATTTCATGTAGCATAACAGAATTGACGTTTGGGGGAGAAATAGAATAATAAAAGACATTCTGTCATTTAAATTAATTTTTAATTCACTTAGATATTAAGGTGACAATTCAATGTCCTTAATCATTGTGTGTGTGTGTGTGTGTGTGTGTGTGTCAGAATGCATGTGTTGATTAATACAAACTTCTTAATAGTTTATTAATCCACCTTACTAAAAAGATAATCATTATTTTCCCAGTTCCATCTATGTGAAGATAAGTCAAAGGTCCTTCTCGACGAGGGCTGGCTTCACTTGGAAGCATGGAGGAAATGTTTCCTGTATTGACCCTCCTCTTTGTAGACTGGACACTAGTTCAAGTCCATCTGGTTGGGGTCTCCATGGCCTCCCTGAACAAGAGGACAGGTGACTCATCACAGTTACAGGACATTTTGAGAGATGCTCCATAGTCCCCTGGAACTTAGTTGACCTTGGAGGGCAAGGAGCAAAATCTGTCCTTTAAGTCCCTCTGACCAAATTAATTTAGGCCTCAAAGTATGTCTGTTAAACATCCCAGAAGGTTAGTTCTACCATTCTGGTACTTTTAATTACCATGTCCTGTGTAAACAAAGCTTGGGCAAAGACCAAAGGTTCTCAGGTAAACCTTGCCTAGACATATATCATGTTCCTTGAGCTAGTTGTATGTGTAATTTGTCAGTAGGTTGTTGGACTAATATGGTTCCATCTTGCTTTTTTAAAACTAGCTAGACATTTATCTCTCTCTGTCTAACCCTTCCACCGTGGTTTCCCCATTTAAGGTGCCCCCATTTTTCCCATTTCTCCCTTAGTAATACCCTTCTCCTATGGTCCCACCTCTTTGGAGATCCTTCTATAACTATTTTGTATTTTCAATTGGTTATTAAATATTTAATATAGAAATGATTACCAGATAGTCACTAACCTTTTAAAGTGCAGTTCAAAATTCATTAATGCAATGTGCCAACTTATCACTTTTATTCTGTGACCTGCTCTTTACCATTTAATTTTTAGATCATCCGTGAATCGCTTCTTTTTTTTAAAAAAAAAAAAAAATCTTAAATATCATTTTAATTAACATTCAGTAGACGTTTTACCTGTTAACGCCTGTTGTGGTAGCAAGCTGACCTAGGTCAGTGTGCTTTGACCCACAGCTCAACCATATGCTCATGATGAAATTTTGCTATTTGAAAACAAGTTATTGGAATTAGGAAAGGAATTTCTTAACTTACTACTTATTACTGTTATAATCCTTTACAGATTCAAACTGTGTCAATATAAGTGAAAATAAATTGTCACCCCCCCCCAAATATGCTCAGCTCCTCCATTCCCAAATGATACTTTTGTGTCTTATTTCCATGTTCCCCCAATCTTCCTTTCTTGGGTTGTAAGTACAGCATGAAGACAACATGAATTTTGCTTTTTAATATAATTTAAAACCAAAAGCTATATCACCAAAAGCTTTGTAATCATTTTATTGATCTCATAAGATAGTTCTGAAAGGCACATCTCTTTAAGAAAGCGTTCTTCGAGCCGAGGAGATAGCACAGTGAGTAAATTGCTTGCCTGGCAAACATGAGGGTCTGGGTTTGATACCCAGAGTCCACAGAAAAATGCCAGGCCTGTTGCTCAAGCTTGTAATTTCAGTGCCTGACGGGCAGACAGGAGCATTCTTGGGGCTCTAGCAGCTAGTCTAGACTTACCTGGTAAGCTCTAATCTGATGAAAGGTGAATTTCATTCTTGAGAATGACTCCAGAGGTTGTCAGTGGCCTCCACATATACACACAAGCCTGGGAATTGCTGAGAGCAAGCTGTGTGCTCAATACTTTTCCTCATGTAAAATCAGAAATAGTGTAAGAAAAAGCCTTTAATAATAGAAAGCAGCTTGGGGGATATTATGAAATTCGTTCTTTGGTCCACTTCATCCAAGAGTAAAGAGGCATAGTGAGGCACTGGTGTCCTAGTCAGTCGGGCGGCATGGGCATGTGCACGTATTTGCATTGCCTAGTCGAACTTCTCAGTCTGTGCTGTCACTCTGTTTTCAGGATTCCTTCTCTAGTGTGTTTCACATGGAGTGGGAGGAATTAGGAAAATCATCTGATACTTTAACAAGGTAAGATAACTTCTCTATTTGTCTATATAATACTGGATAAATAGTTGCTTTGTTGTTATTTTTATTTAAGGTGGATAAGTGATTGGCTATTTTCCCCTACAAATAATTTTATTTGTCCAAATACTTTATTTGATGCTAATGCTCAAGGGTTTTCAACCACACTGACCTGAGAATTGTTTCATATATTATTTCAAATAGTGCTCTAATTAGTACAGACTTAATTGTATTGTAATTGTGAACTAGTTCCCTTAGGATCTGCAACTATTGTACTTCAATGATATTTTTCTACTTGCATATTTGACCTTTACTGGAAATCTTCTAGATTTCCAAGCAAGATTTTTCTGTAAACCTGTTCTGGGTTGAATTAACCTAGTAACAGAAGGAAACTAACAGTCCTAATCTTAATAATTTGTGTACCTCTCTGGCTAAAATAAAATCAGATCTACCTGCTCAGTTCTTTTTTATGGTGTTTATAGTTTCAAATATGTGTTCATTTTTTTGTTGTTAATTTACTGTTCTTTGAAAAAAGTGTGCTGTATTTAGATGATGGAGGATACATGTTCCTCTGTCTCACAAGCTTTCTGAAGGATTTTTAAATAAATTTAGGGCAAACTACTAAATGTTCTTACTCTTCTACATTTTTTGCTATTGTTCTTATTATTTTAATTCCCACTGGCCTGGAATTCTCTATGTAGACCAGGCTGGCCTCAGTCTAGTAGAAATCCTCCAGCCTCTGCCTTCTGAGTGCTTGGATTACAGGTGTGCATTACTGTGCCCAGCTATACTCAACGTTTTTTTTTTCCCTAAAGAATAGAAATCTTGGGGCTGGAGATGGCTCAGCAGTTAAGAGCACTGGCTGCTTTTGCAGAACACACAGGTTCAATTCCTAGCACCCACATGGTAGCTAACAACTGTCCATAACTCCAGTTCCAGGGGATCCGACGCCCTCTTCTGACCTCCATGGGTATTGTACAACATGAGTGCACTTATATACATGCAGTTACTACACTCATACACATTAAAAAATATATAAATGAAAACAAAAAAGTTTTATAAAAGAATAGATATCTTGCAAGATAAGGTGTCAGAAAATCTTAGGCATTTACGAAACTTTTGTTTTGTTTAAAATGATACATATGTCTCTGATTTTATGGTGCTGAAGCATCTTTGTTGCTTTTGTTACTATGTGTAACTATGTAAGTGTGTATTCCTCTACGCATTTACCTTTATCTCCACAGGACAAAATGAGGATTAGTATGATACTGCTTGTTAAGAATATAAAAAGGTTATTAAAACTTACATTTAATACTTATGCAGTGGCATGTAGCTGTGTAATTAAATTTTACATTTTAATTTTTTTATTATAAATTCAGTCAGGTCTTCTAATACCCCCTAATAGTTGAAAGAAAGAACCCAATGCCTTGTGTACAGTGACCTCTGCTGGTGAACAGACATTTCTAAACCAGCAAAAGTAGAGACATGTTTAATTTCTTTCTGATTTTCTCTATAGGACAAATGGACGCTATCTTCCCATTTATATTTTTATCATTCCATGTCATTTATAAAATGTTTTACAAAGAGGACTGGAGAATGACTCAGCAGTTAAGAGCACTGGCTGCTGTTGCAGAGGACCCAGGTTCAATTTGCAGCACACACGTGGTAGCTAACAGCCATCCCTAACTCCAGTTCCAGGGGAATCCAATGCCGTTTTCTGAGCTCCATGGGCATTGCACGACATGGGTGCTCTTACATACATGTAGGCGGTTAGTGTGACTATCTTAAAAGAGACACATTCTGAGACTGGAGAAATGGCTTAGTGGTTAAGAGCACTGGCTGCTTTGCAGAGGACCTGGGTTCAGTTCCCAGCACCCACATGGTGGCTAATAACTGGCAGTGACTTCAGTTCCAGGGGATCCAATGCCCTCTTCTGGCTTCATGGACATTTTATGCATGGGAACATTTAACATATATGCAAGCAAAGCATTCATATATGTAAAATAAATTCAAAACATTTTTTTAAAGAGACACATTCTAGCTGATTTATTAACTATTACCACCAGCATGAACAGCATTCAGTGCTGATACTCATGTCTGTCCAACATTTTAAAGTTAGCCTTTATTCTAATGATGCAGTAAAAGACTTCTTGCTCATGTGTTAAAATTATGTAAAAATTAGTTTTAATTGAAATTAGACATCTGGCTTAATTTTATAAAAAGTGATATAAAAATAGTTAGTAACTTCAATATTTTTAAAAAGTGTCAAATTGATATTGTTACTTATTCACTTAGCAGACTGTTCTATTTCCAAAACTGATTGTTGATGGTACAGTTTGATATCCTCCACTTTTGAGTATTAAACACTTTGCCAATCCAGAACTCATTCATGAGATAACGTGTTGCATTATTTGTTTATGTTAACAGTTAAGTAAATCATTTTTAAGTTCTTATTTATTAGTTGAAAATCCTGGTTCTTGGGCCAGAGGATATAGCTCAGTTGATAAAGTATTTGCCAGTCATACACAGAGCCCTGAGTTTGGTCCCCACACTGCGTAAACCAGGTGTGGTGCCGCATATCTGTGATCCCAGCACTCTGGAGATGAAGGTAGGAAGATCTTGCAAGGTCACCTTCAGCTATATAGGGAGTTCCAAACCAGCCTGGACTAGAGACTCTGTAGCAAAAAGTGCATAATAAAAAAAAGCCATTGTTCTTTAGATTTTTTTCACCCAAGCTATCCTCTTATCTTTTATAAGCTAAATAATGCGTGACCACCATTTTGAAATGTTAAATGAAAAACTAAAAACTATTCAGGTGAACCCTGTCCATCCTCACTAGAATCCCCCCGCAAGGAGGATGAAGTTGGTAAGCTTTTGGGAGTTGGGTTGCTGCCCTGGATTCCAGGAGGAAGGCACATCTCTTGGGGGGAAGGGGCTTCATCTCATGCCGTCGTGCAGAGCCAATGCTGTGGTTTATTAGCTCCTTATTGTGAGGAACAAACATGGTGGTCCTGCCGCTCCATGCCAGTTAATTTTATGTTTTTTATAAATGTATTTTAATCACAAAATGACAAATATTATTGCTCTAACTCATCTTCTTGGACTAGATATACTAGCTAGTACTTGGTTACTATATTTGAAAATACAATTATAGTTCAGATGAAGATAAACTACTTTTTAAAGTGTAAACATATTTTCCAACTTCAGGATACCAGACATAAGATTGTAGAACTTACACTCGATCTAAATTCAGGGACCACCACTTCCTAGCTGTAGGTCTTTGGGTAAATTATTTAACTTCCTGAAGCCTTGCTTTGTGATGATAAAATTACAGTAAGGCTTAGAAGAGCCTGATGCATATAAAAATGCCTCAGAAAACTTGTGTTGTGTCTTCTGTGTCTTGGGAGTTTTGCCGTCTTTGGGTTACCTTAGCCTGCAGTGTTCGCATATCATTCTGCAACACACAAGCTTGTCTTTCTAACCCTAACCCTGCCATCTCAAGAATTTGCTTTTATACAAGTCTGCTGGTATCTATTTTGCAAAAACCTTAGATCTCTGAGTTAGCCCAGGTCTGCCAGAAAACAGATGCTATGACCTGTTTAAGTGTGCAGTGCCTACTAGGGAGCACGCTCTTGGAACACAAAAGGGAGAAGGCTGCACTGCCAACCTGGAAGTCTGATCTCATCAGGGCGAGAGCGGAAAGGAGTAATGGAAGGTTGTGTGCACTGTCTTAAATAGGTCTGAGGGCTAAGGAAAACTCAGCAAGGCTGCTGGAAAATCTTCTAGCTGAAGTTCTGTAGCTCTGGAATCATGAGTCTCCCAGGAATAGTCCTGGTTTAGTAGCCTAATAGGCTCAGTCTTTGAGCAGCCCTGGGAGGCATGGCCCCCAAATTGGCCTCATGGGCTCTAGAGCTTAGCACTAAGAATCTGCCAAATACACCTTCTGCAGTGGGGGATCTAAGGCACTTTCTCAAGCCCACCATAATGTTCCTGCCATATAAAGGATGAAGTCCATATTCATTGCATTACACTTTGAAAACTTTCGCTATTCTAGCCTAACTTTTTCAGCCTGAAACACTCACTTTATTCCTAATGATCTGCAGCTGTTCCGTGTATCGCGACTATACATAGAAATCATGCATTTCAACAGTGTTTTATACTGTGGGGAGGGTCTCCCTATTTTTTTCCACACAACCTTTCTTTCCTCATTTCTTTTTCCTTTCTTAAGTCTTAACCAGCTTCTTAAGTATTTTTGTAGTGTCATTTCTTTCCTAATCCATTCCATTTAGATGCTGTGTGTCCATCTTCTCCACATGTATGGTATTTGCATTGTTACCAGTAATATTTGCGAGGGTTAGTTTTAGTTATGAATTGTGAAAACTCCAAATAAAAATACCATAATCAAGAATGTAATATTGTTACTCACTCCTGTGCAACCCCAGAGGTAAACATCTTAAGGCTGGCGCTGTACTGTCAAATGCCCCAAGGGCTCAGGTACCCCTGAGGTATATTCCTTCCCTTCAAGAACAAAGATGGAGTCCTATCCATCACATCTGTGTCTTATACAGTACGGAGAAGGACAGGAGACCACGGGGCAGAGAGCACGTCAGTATTCTAGAAGTTGCGCACACTGCCTCCTTACATCTTATGCCTGGGCTTGGCTCTGTGTCTATGCGAAGAGAAGGGAAGGGCGTTGGGGGCAGCTAACATGTCTGCACTAGACTCTTCTAGACAGTATGTGCACCTGAAACACTGTGTTCTTCACTCTGTCACAGCTTCCTGACAGACTGGAAGCTCAGGGTGACAGCTGCTGACTGTGAAACTGTCTTTTCCCACATAGCAGTGCAAGTACCTCTCAGGGAACAGCTGTTCAAGCTGTATTTATTGAGGGTAGGAAGCAAATTATTAACATTTTCAAAAAGTAGGAAATAACTGTAGTATTATGTAACTTTAATAAATCTAATATTCATTTTTCACTAAAGTAACCACCAGGAAAACATTTTCAGGAAAGTTGAGAAGGTATCCACTGATGTTTCTCTGCCATGTCTCCACATCGACTCCTATTTCTGAATTTATGGTTTCTGGAAAGTTGCTTAAGCATTTTACTTCCGGCTCCTGTTGTTAACATAATTATACTGGCAAGAATAATATAGTTACTACTATTTCATTATCACTTTACAAGAGACTGTATGAAAGGTTATGCCTTGTCCCTCCTCCTGTGGTGGCCACTTTCCATTTTTTTCTGTCTTTACTACAGCTTCTTCTTGCTTTCTTTTCTTTAGGTTGTTATTTATAAAATACTTGTAGTTTCAAAAAGATGCTTCTCTGACAAAGTTGGTAGCAGCCCAGGCCTAGAGTATAAACATAAATATTTAGAAGGCAGTTTGACAATATGACCATTCAGGAAAATAAAAATAGCTGGTTCTACCCCAGAGCCTATGACCTCCCCAAGTCACGGGCTTTTGACCAGAATTACAGTATGAATTTACAGGCATGAAATTCTCTCCTGTAGAACAGGCCATAGCTCCAATTACAAAAGCACTTAGTTACCCATAACAGTCCTGCAAAAATGGACACATTCTTGCCTGGCAGGTCAGTATTGCAGCATGCAGAGTCCAGCACTGGGTAAGACCACTGATGTCTTCTCTCCCGAGCAGCTACATGCCACCTTTTGACACCATGGAAACTACCAGCAGGGAGAAAGTTTCCGGTTTGGTTTGAGATTGATCTCCCCATATTCTGCAGCCAAAGTATGGTCAGCATATGGTCTTACCTATAGTGACGGTGGGTCACCAAAGGCAAACGGCGTAGCCTGTGTTGTTTTTGGAGATCTCCTGTGACTCCCTGACCGGTAACTCTTAGGAGGTTTTCCGTGCCTGGGCCATATATTTCATCTTTAAATATCGCCTACTACTTTCTCATTGCTTCAGTTAGTAAAGCTGCAATTAAAATAGTCACGTCAGACAGAAAAAGGGGAAGACACAGCCAGAGAGGAGAGCCTACCAAAATCCTTTTAGGGTTTCTTGATAATTCCCTTCATCTTAGAATTTATAAAGGATTGTTTATTGGGATAGGTGCTCATAAAATAGATAATCCAGAAAGTACAAATACTAGACATCGGGCATTCTGTAATCTGATAAGAAAATAAACATCTCATGGTGAGAATATAAATTTTACATTAAATGACATAAAGGTCAACATGCCCATTTACACTGATTCAGATTGAGAATTCCTTATCTCAGTGCTTGGGGCCAGAAGTGTTTGAGATTTGGGGAAATTTTAGATACTAGAATTTTTGGATACACATATGTTATCTTAGGGTAGTATAGAAGTCTAAACATGAAGGTTCCAAATGCATAATCTGGAGGTAATCATATATAGTATTTTGAGTGTGCTCATATTTCAGCTTCAATAAGTCACGTGACATCAAGTGTTTAATTCTACACCAGTGGCCACATGTCAGTGTTGACAACATTTTGGGTTTGGGAGCTTTGCAGATTGTTGTTACACATTTTCAAGTTCCAGATGGTCAGCCTGTAATAAGATTATTAAAAACTTGTTTTAGATAGTTAAGTTTGTAGGTATTGTTTCAGAATATTTAGAATAATAAGCAATGGTGTAATCATGCAACACATGTTCAAATTGAGGTGTAACGATTCCCCCATCATCTGAAGCTGCTAGTATCACCTTTAATCATTCTGTCAACTCTGTGAGCTCATGTTTTCTCACTTCACAGAAGTATCATGCCTGTTGTTTCCACAGGGAGCATGATGCAAACAAAATCAATTACATGTATGCCCAGTATGTCAAAAACACTATGGAGCCTCTTAATATTCCAGATGTCACTAAGGACAGAAGATTTCCCTGGACTGTAAGTAACCTGGTTTTGACTTGAAGCTTGAAGACTGTTTTCCCATAATGCCCATCCTTGCAGCTGCTCTTTGTCTGAAGGCCTAGCCTGGAGACTGGCTGTTGAAGGGTGATCTGTGCTTTTTCCGTGCTCAAACAGAAGACAGTGAAGCAGCTTCTACTGGACTGCTGTGTATTTTCTCTGTCCTCTTTTTCTTTCTTTCTTTTTAAATTATAGTCACAAATTGCTATGTAGAAGTTGAAGTAATTAGTACCTACATGATGCCCATGGCACTCCTCAGATGGACTTTATCTGTAAAAGTCAAGGTCGCTGTGGTTTGTATGCATGTGATTGGCACTCTACTACAGTGAGCTTCTCTGTGGCAAGACGGACCAAAGTCACGAAGGTCTGATCTTCAGACACTGAAAACTTTAAATTCTAGTATTTTCTTTTCTCTTCTTTCATAATATCATTGGACTTTGAGGCAGCGGCCTTGATTTTGTTACCCGCACATCTAGGACACCCTTTACAACCTTTAGTAGCATAAGCATTAGGCACAGTGACAGTACGGAAAAAAGGAGATTATAACGGGTAGCTTCCAGGCTGATGTCAGGCTTTGGGGTTCTGCCTCCTTTGTTAAATTGAGACACCTGTCTCACCAGGATAGGAAATGCTAAATAAACATTTTACTTAATATTCCTCTAAACTATTTGGAAAGTTTATGCTCAATAAAGGAAATCTAGTATATTATTTTAATAAAGACTGATCACTTTATATTGCACTTACATAAGCCTCATAATAATTTGTTTGTTTTCTGTAGCTAATAAAAGATGAACATAAGGCTGGGTGTGGTGGTACACACCTTTAAATCCCGACACTCAGGAGGCAGAGGCAGAGGCAGGCAGGCAGATCTCTGAGTTCAAGGCCAACCTGGTTTACATAGAGAGTTCCAGGCTAGTCAGGGGCTACACAGTGAGACCCTGTCTACCCCCCAAAATGAAAAAGAATACATTATTTGTTATAGATGGGCCATATAGTTAATATGATATCTGTGGGACAAATCATCTCTGTTTTTTAGCTGTTTTGTTTTGTTCTTGTTTAGAATGAAAACACAGGGCATGTGAACCAGCAATGCATTGCAAGTTTGCTTTGCACACCTATCAGAAACGGAAAGAAGAACAAAGTCATCGGTAAGCCCTTTCCATTACCTATACTCTGATTTGGTTTTGTTTGTTTTTTTTTAAAGCAAACTCCCAGCAGCCTCTTTCAAGTGTAAACTTAAAGAGTAAAATGTCTGAGGAAGGATAAGAATTGGAATGATAAAAAAAATAGTTTATGTTGGTAAATGCCAGTGCACCTGTCAAATATTTTATTAGCTATACTGTATTTTTATAACCATTAGAATCCAGTTTGATCAGATGTTTTTATTTAAGAATGATGTGTTAGGGGCTGGAGAGATGGCTCAGTGTTTAAGAGCACTAGCTACTCTTGCAGAGGACACGGGTTTGGTTCCCAGCACCCACATGGCAGCTGACAACTATCTGTAACTCCAGTTCCAGGGGATCTGACACCCTCTTCTTCTCTGCGAGCACTCCACGCATGAGTGCACTTACATACGTGCACACAAAACACTCATACACATAAAAATAACAATCAAAAAAAATTTAAAGGAATGGTGAGCCTGAGTGGGACCCTGCAATCCACGTGGTAGAAGGAGAGAACCAAGTCCCACAAGTTGTCCTATGACTTCTGCACGTACACTGTGGCACACTCACACACAAACACACACAAAATGTTAAAAATAGGCTTTGTACGCCAAATGCGAAGCATCAGTTGATAATATATGTTGTTTTAGTTTTATTTCCTGATATTTGACTTTTCAAATACATAGTTTAAGACTGTAGGTTGTATTCATATTCCTGTGTTTGTTCAGTCAACATTTATTGAATGTTTCCCATATTCTAGGCACCTGAGCAAAGCAGAAGTCCTGCCCTCGGATTTTACACATGCTCTTATCCCTGAGGTGCTTCTATTTTTACTGTGCATTCCAGTTTATGAATCAGTTTTACCAACTTAGTTCTCGTCACTGCCCTTTCAGCACACCCTTGTAGTTCCGTGCCTACCCCTGCTCAGGGTCATAGCCTATTATGAAAGTCCCCTGAGAACTTTGCAGGCCACTCTCTGCTGGTCTGGGTGGTCAGCAGCGCTGTTCTTCCCAACTCAGGAAAAGCATCAGAGACCAATGAACATGTAAGCCTATTTGTAAAGATGATCACCAACAGATCTCCAGCTTAGATAATAAATGATAGATTATAAAAGTTTATATCCCAGGGGACAAAAGGGGATAACTACATTATGGTATGCTCTTTACAAGATGCTTTCATCTAAGTATAAGAATTTACTACAAGTTGTCTTTGAGAGTGAGACTGAGTTCCAACAGAGATGTCATTTCCTAGTGAGTTGACATAAAGAAGACAGAATGGCAACTTGCTACAGCCATGTCTTTAATCCCCCTCAGCAGTGTCTCATCAGAATGGGAAGAGGGACTGGCTGCAGGAAGGTACGCATCAGGCACTTCCCTCCCTGTGCATAGGAACAGCCCTTGGAGAGCCAAGGCCTGGGAAGAGGACTTAGAGGCTGCTGTTTGTTTCACTCTGCCTTAGCCTTGTAAATGGTTCGGTGCATAGTGCATGCCTCTGTGAAGTTTCTCAGGAACTCCACAGATGTGTCAAAGTTTACTCTATGATCCTGTCAGTGTTTCAGAAAAGTGAGCAAAGTTTGTAAAGTAAGAATTAGAATAATCAGGCCTGTTTGGGCAGACATTTTTACATCATCCTACTCTGCTTAATAGCAGAACCAAGAGCCAGAAAATGTTTTTGAAAAGAGACAGTTCCCTGTTTTAAGAAGAAATAAATGATTTCTGTGTGAGTTTGTGAGGCAGAAGAGGTATTCAAATTAATTGCAAATATGAGATGGAAATTTCACTGTGTTTCTTGCTGTAGTGTAAGTGTGAGGAAGCTGGGAAATTGAATTCTGACTGTACTTACATATCCACAGATGCAGTGTGCAAAAGACCAGGGCTGTGGATAATTTGTCTTGCGTGTCACAGACCAGATTCTGTTATGTAGTTTTAATCAGTTTTCATCGAGACTCCCCACAGAGTTCCATGCAGAAAAGCAGGCCAGCCCATGTGTTTTTTGTAATCTTCTTCCTTCCTCTTCATTTATTTTCGTTACTGACATTTAGATGAAATTACAGGCATTAGACCAGTTCAGGGCCTGTTTGTATCATCAGCTTTATTCTCCAAGGGGTTGTTTCCTATCAACAAATATTTCCTTATGCTCTGCCTGATGCAGAATGTTGCCACACTTTGCTTCCAGCATCGTCGAGGAAAAGTTTCTCATTCAGCATTCATTTCTTTTAACCAATTCTTGGCCCCATTGATAAACCTAAATACGCCCTTTTTCCCATATCATGTTTACCAGAAGTTTTGGTGCGTGTTCTCCATACCAATTTCAGGGCATATTTTGAAGAAATTCCCATCTAAAGAAAACTCAAAAACCTTTAGACCGTTTCTACTTTAAATGATTTACATTCCATAATCCCAGCACTCTTGGAGGCACAGGCAGGCGGATCTCTGTGAGTTCAAGGCCAGCCTGGTCTACATAGTGAGGTCCAGGACAGCTGGGGCTACAGGGACGCCCTGTCTCATAAAGACAAAAAGAAAAAGAAATATAGTAAAATAAGAACTACAAGACCATATACCACACTGTTTGAGAATTGTGGAAAGGAAATGTGCTTTCTGTTATCATGAGTGCATGCTATAAGCTGGCGACACCCTTGATGGTTTCTCGTTCGTGCTATGGGAAGTTTCAGTTTTCTGTTTGCACAGGGAATTTTATGTCTCTTATATAACCATGCACTGCATAATGGTTTGTCAGTCAGCACTAGCTTACGTATGGTGGGCTCATGGGTTGTTTCCCTTGGTAACACCGTGGCTGCCTCAGATTATGTAAGTTTCTCTAGTGTTCAACATGATTGAAGGAACTAACACTGCACCTCTGTGGATGTGTTCCTGCCATTTACTGAAATGCATCTGTACATTTGTCTGTACTCTTATTTGAATTCCGCAAGCACCCATACCACTGTAATGCTCCAAAACACCTATCTTTTGTATCAAGGGACTGCAAGACGTGGGAATCCTCAGACATTTTTGAGTACTTCTCTTTGAAATTGTGGATCATAATCATTCAGTTATCATTCTTGGTCACCCTATCTTACTCTGATCATTGATTTGGGCTTTGTTTAGTAAATGCCCACGTGTATTCGCCCACCTTTAAATGGGTGAATATTTGAAGAGGTATCTGCTCTCCTGGGTGTTGCAATCTAATTCCTTAAATAAGTATTCTGAGAATAAAAATTTAAATTGAATATCTACTTCATTTTATTTTTGTAGAAAGTTTTACCACTGGCAACATTACTTTTTTTCTTGCTTTTAAAATATTTGCTAAGATTCTCATAGTGCAAGTAAAATTAAATAATGCATCCTCTGTCATAGTACACATTGCATATATTTCTTAAAAATACAAACCCACCCCCATTAAAGAGTTGTAAATTATACTTAGTTATAATGTGCACCAGGAAATAAAACAGAGTAGGGGGCAGTAACAATTGAAAGAAACAAAATTAAGAGATCATAGTTCTCAGCACTCAGGAGGACATGCAGGAGAATCACTGCAAGTTCAAGACCAACCTGGGCTACATAGGAAATTCAAATCCAGCCCAAACTACGTAGTAGGTCCTTGTCTCATAAACAAAATTAAAGATAGAACTTCCTCCCAATGCTGGGATCAAAGGTGTGCCCTACCACATCAGGCAAGATGATTTTTTTGACTACCTGAAAAATTAAATATTTTATATAGGAAAAAAAACTTTCTGAAGTAAGATTACTCATAAAAAAAATAAGCCTACGAAGTTTTTGCAAGATTAAATATTATATTTTTAACTTCTTGACTAAAGATTCTTGACCAAAAAAATGAGCAATTGGTGATCAGGTAGGTTTACTTACTATAAGCATGTTAATTTTAACGTCCACATTTTATGACATCAGAGCATATGCCTTGACCCTCACTCTGCCAAAAAGCTGCAAGGTTGGTAGAGCATGTGATTCTCAGAATTATAGAAAGGAAACCAGCCGCGTGATTTTAGAACCATCTTTAGTGTGATTTCCAGAAGTTCCTCAGTGCTAACTCGCCTTCAGAGCTATGGTGAGCATGTAAACTAATTCTGTGTAAGTGCTTTATAACAATAATGGTGGGTACTACTGTACTACTGATAATTTACTGTTTAATTTTACTCTTTCTTCATTTTTCCCTGATACATTTTTTTAATTTATTTTATTTATTTATTTTTGTCTTTTTGAGACAGGGTCTCCCTGTAGTCCCAGCTGACCTGAACTCACTGTGTAGACCAGGCTGGCCTTGAACTCACAATGATCTGCCTGCCTCTGTCTCCGGAGTGCTGGGACTAAAGGCGTGCGCCACCACGCCCGGCTCCCTGATACATTTTTAAGTAATGTTTTACTTTATGACTGTATTGGCTTTTGAGGAATAGTTTTCTTAGGTGTTTGGTTCTGCAGTAACCACTTGGTTTTTATTATATATAATGGACTGACATTATGCATGACTTACAAGTAGGTGTAGCATCTCAAATTACCAGTTTCACATTTTGTTACCGTATTGCTTAGTTCTTCTCTTGGGTCGTTGGTGAAGAAGTTGTAAAAATTCTATCTATAAGTGTGCCCAAGCTTTAAATTTTCTCTATGAAGGAATCTTATTTGTTTGTTATAAACTTCCCTGTGTATTTTTGCTTACTGTATTTAAATTTTCTGAAGGGTATTAAGAGATCAGTTGAATTATCATGAATGCTGATCAGTCTGCTTTCAAGAGATAATTTAATGATATGCTTTCATGGCTGTTTGTCTTTAGTGCCCTTTTCTTGCCCTGAGCTTAATTCTGTGTCTGTAACTCTGTATCTGCAGTGGTGGCTTATAGACAGTCACATTTTAGGTGTTCTGTACTGAGCTGTGGTTGTTACAGCACTTAGCTTGTCGTTTAAATGTTTTGTGAGCAATTCCAGAGGTAGAATTTAATTCCCCGTTTCTTCTTTTTGTTCAGAGCCTTGTATATTCTAGGCCAGTCTACTGCTGAGCAGCGTCTCCAGATCCATTAATACTTCTTAATTTTTTTTTCAGTGAATTTTGTTTGAGGAAAATTCAAATTACTATGTTAAGAGACTTAACTTGGCCATAGCCTAGAAAACTGTCTGCCCTGCACACCCTAACCCTCTGTCACACTGTGTTTGTGTGTAGGAATTGTTACAAAAGTCATTTGAAAAATCTTACTTATGAGCAGTGGCTATCATGTGGAAGATAGCTTTAGTAAAAATTGAAAGGCATTTCCACTGTGATGCGAGGATAAGGGCATGAAACACGTGATTCTCACAAAAATTTCATTTGGGAGACAGCCAGAATCCTACATAAACAGTTCCATAGTTATAATGAGGATTCACAAAGATTAGAGGACATAACCCTGGTGTTTTTACCATATATGGGATATGTGATTTTAAGATAATGAATGTTGGCTGCTATTTAATGCATGGTTTTTCTTACATTGTCCACAGTCTTTATGTCGTGTTTGAAGTTTTGCTCTGTACTAAAATAGTGTCAGAGAAATTATCCATGCAGCACTGATGGAGATTGGAAAGCATGTGGATCTTGGAACTGAGTAGACAAAAAGGGAAAGAAAGGGGGTTCCAAATTACTGATAGGGTTAAGTGAAGAGACTATGTGCCCGTGCTGAGAAAGGGGGCTGACATGTAACCAGATGTCACAGCAGACTAAAAAAACCTTTCGTGCTACAGAACAAGCAAGCCAATAGTCTATATAATCTTCATGGGAAAGTAGCTCGGGTCAGAGCCGAGGTCTGTATTTTTTCATTAACTTTTATTTATTTATATAAGTTCTTACTGTCTGCCGGGCATTTTGCTAGCTGAGGAAGTGGAATTGGGGGAGAAGGAGATCACTAAGCCCTACATACTTACAGCCAAGAGGGAGAGACAAACATGAAATCCACCATTATTCACCAAGTGTGAGGTGAGGGGCACAAAGGAGGGAAGTGCCTGCCCTTTGTGCCTGGCGGGAAGCTCAGGATCCTGAAGAAGCCTTGGGGTCACCCGGGAGACAAGCACAACACTGGGTAGTGATAGAGGCAGCGGGTGAGTAGAAAGACTGAGGCAAATTGGATGATGAAGGTGCAGTCTGAGCACTGCAGTCATCGGTGTGTGGTGAGCCAAGTAAATGCTTGTCCAAGGCAGGGCTAGGATTTCAGACTCACAGATGTGATAAACGACACGGCCTTTTCCTCATTCGTGTAATCGTCACACCTCTTTCACAAGGTCAGTCATGAGGACTAAAGATTGCATGTCTAATCCAGTATCCAGCACTGTGGACACTTGCAGGAAGTCATGTGTTTCATGCCCTTATCCTCACATAGACAGAAACTTATAAAAACTCTAACAACACATTTTACTCAAAGGTGAGTTCTATATCCCAGCTCCTCATACACAGAGAGACCTGTAGGCGCAGAATCCCACAGCAACACCAGCCAAATACAAATTTACCATAACGTAGTGGCCGTATTCTTTCTTGATGAGCTATGTGATTGACCTCTAAGAGAGGGCAGGACGTAGAGGTCATAATATTCTTTGAGGACTAACTCTGCTTTACCTCTAAAATAGTCACTCAGTTTGCACTTATTTGCAGTATTAAAAGTTGTCTTCTAATATAACTGTCCTGAATGCTTGAGTGTGTGTGTTTGAAATTTGGAACTGTCTATCTGAGCTGCCTGTTTTCATTTTTGTATGTGATTATATTTTTAAACTCTGGTTTCTCAGTTAAGCTAGGAAGAGCAGACTGTGTGACCCAAAACTCTGATGTGCATCAATACTGTTCTCTTGGCACATGTACAAAAATCCAGTTACTTTCCAAAGGACAAATTGCCTTTGGGGACTCAGCTGATCCAAAGTTCATGACCAATCTGGAGGAGAAACTAGCATTTTTTGATCATAGACAATATACATCTAGGGCTGTGTGAAACTAGCTCAGATGTATATTAGTTTACTTTCCTAGCTTTGTTTGCACAGGTCCATTTTCTTAGTTGGCGACAACAGGCATTTCTAGGGGAAACATATAAGGCAGTCTTTGGCTGTGAGCATTAAAGTCTATCAAAGCTGTGATAATTAACAATAATGTTTGCTTAATTTCTTGGATTGCTCTAGGAGTTTGCCAACTTGTTAATAAGATGGAGGAGAATACTGGCAAGATTAAGCCTTTCAACCGGAATGATGAGCAGTTCCTGGAAGCGTTTGCCATCTTCTGTGGCTTGGGAATCCAGAACACACAGATGTACGAAGCCGTGGAGCGAGCCATGGCCAAGCAAATGGTGACGTTAGAGGTGGGCTGGAGCCATGGCCAAGCAAATGGTGATGTTAGAGGTGGGCTGGAGCCATGGCCAAGAAAGTGGTGATGTCAGAGGTGGGCTGGAGCCATGGCCAAGCAAGTGGTGATGTCAGAGATGGGCTGGAGCCATGGCCAAGCAAATGGTGACGTCAGAGGTGGGCCAGAGCCATGGCCAAGCTAATGGTGACGTCAGAGGTGGTCTAGAGCCATGGCCAAGCAAGTGGTGACGTCAGAGGTGTGCTGGCACCATGGCCAAGCAAGTGGTGATGTCAAGGTGGGCCAGGGCTGGCAGAACGTGCCACACACTCAGCTTTTCCTTTTCCTCCCAACAGACATGGTGGGTGAGTGTTGTGACTTTGTGTCCCCACAAGAATCATGGGATTTTCGTGAGATCTATACCCAAATTGAAAAGCTAAAGAAATTAGACTCTTCTCAAGGTCATATGACCAAGCCAAGGCTCTGGATCTTTTTCTTCAGAAAGCAGGCCTGGGCTTTTAATTCACACGGATGACCACAGTCCCTGTCAGTCCCTTCTTCTGTCTCAGCCTCACATGCCTCCATGAGGATACCTGTGAAGAAAGCTTAAAATAACAGACAATAAAATCTCCCAGCAGTCTTGAGAATTAAATAAGTAAAAGTAAATAAAGGAAATCAGTAAAGGGAAAAAACACTTTCTCTTTCAAACTAAAGATTTAAAGGCTCTGGCATCTGAAACTTTTGATTCAGGTAGTTTTGAGGGAGGCCATAAATGTTGCTGTTATTAAATAGAACTTTAAATTTTTTATTTAAAAAAAATAGAATTTTTTTTTTGGTCTCTTTGAGAAGGGGTTTCCCTGTAACCCCAGCTGGCCTGGAACTCAGTATGTAGGCCAGCCTGGCCTCTGCTTCCCAAGTGCTAGGATTAAAGGTGAGCACCACCACGCCTGGCTCTATTTTAAAATATTAAACATTTAAATAAAACCACTTCTCCACTTACTCAGAAATTACCACTCTGAAATGCAAACGATGATTTAAAACAAGCCTAGCATCAATGCCTATATGTAGTGCTAGCTCCTGACTCCTTTGTGAGCATGTATCCTTGGCACCCTCAACTGCTGGTGGATGGCTTTACAGACCACCCTTTGCTGCTCTGCTTCTGACTTGTGTGAATCTGAGGGCATCCTTAAACCTGCATGAACGTATATGTAAGCATGCAATTTTCTATATGAATACAGTAGTCGTTATAAGCCTCATCTGAGAGCCGTGTCTAAACCACTAGCTTTTCAAATATCAATTTAAATATGTCTGTTTGCGTAATAGCTTTGTTTCCTTTATTCTGAACACGAGTACGTTTCTAAAAAACAGTTCAAAATAAGCTTGCTGCCAAGTTTAAGCCAGAGGTTATTTCTAGAGTGGCTTATAAATAATGTGCTTGGTGTATCAACAATGTCAGAATTAAAGTTTCAGGGTTTTCTTTAAAAGTAGGGAGTGCTGGAAGAGCTGACCTTCTTAAAGGGAGGGACTCTAGATAGGCTGACTAGATCTCAGTGGGTGAACTTGCACCAAGGGACTCCTAGGGATAGTAACTTGATATGATAGGGCTTAACACAAATGACAGAATGTATGAGTTCCCCTGGGGGAGAGGGGGAGCTATAGGAGGGTGCCAGTGGGAAAGGGGTCTAAAGTTGATTAAGATGTTCTGTATGAAATACACAAAAATTCAATAAAAAGGTTTCTTTTTAAGTAGGGAGTACAACTTTTTCAGAAACAATCAATGGAATCTCAGTAGAATTTCACAGTGTGGATGAACGCCTCAAACAAGATTCTGGCAGTCAGACATGCCTAGTTATCTCTTCAGGAAGCCTGAGCAAAGTTCCAAACCTGAAGTTCCGTTCCATCTGGTCATCTGCCTGTGTAACCTGGACTCGTGTCTCTCCACAGGTCCTGTCTTACCATGCTTCAGCGGCAGAGGAAGAGACGAGGGAGCTCCAGGCTTTGGCGGTAATACTCTTCTTTCTTTTGGAAACTCACTGATGAAAGCTATCTAATTAATATATGCACATGCTTTTACTAGCAGCAAACATTTAGGTGGACACTCATTTATGTCGGTACCTAATCAACTGTACTTTCTTGCTGGGGTACAAAGTCACTCATAATACAAAGCAACAGTAACTCATGTTGACCTTGTAATACAGTCTGGTATTCTCATTTTTTCCAGTTGTTGTTACAAAGTTTACATCTTTCACCCAAATTAATTTAGTTTTCATTTACTGAGCAGTTTGAAATAGGTGACTATAGGTGGTTATTTGGCTAGGGTAATGACAACCAGGATTTTATAGTTTGCTACCAGTAAGCAGCTCTGCATTATTGGGAAGTGGGAGTGATTCAATTTCTTACCGTGTGGTTTATGGCATAATGTTTGAAATTGAGTTCAGATAAGGTTAGTTACTGAATTCTCATCACATTGTTGCTTTGTGTACAGTAGACATGTGCCCAACAAATGTTCTAGGTTTTGGTTGGGCTCGGTGAGGTACATGAAAATTTGAGGCACTTTTGCAATCTTTTTATTTTAAATTCATTGCTATGAATGACACAGATAGCTCTATCTGAGAGAAGAGTTGCGCATGTAAGAATTGAAGAGTTTAAACAGATGGTAGACATCAATTTTCATTGTTATCACCATAGCTTGTCATAAGATAAACATCTTAGAGTGCCTTATTATGGAAACCACAACTACACTGTGAAGACCACATTGATGCCTAGAGAAGTCAGGTGACTTCAGGTTCATGCAGAAGAGGGAGTCGGAAGAAGCTCATGAGCTCACGCTTCATCACAAGGTGCTGAGCCAAGGAGTTAAAAGACAAGACGAGGAAAGAGGACTTGGTAGAGAGTAGTGAGTAGAAACCTGAGTCATCCACTGCCATCAGTCAAGAATTAGCTAATTTTATCTGAAAGGTCACACACCTCTGGTGATTGGCATCATACAGAATTTACCAAGGGGCTTAGGTATAAAGTAGCATTCACCCTGAACTTAATTGGCACTTTTTTCTTTTAAAGCTGGGCCCTCATGCTGTAGCCCAAGCTGGCTTAGAACTCGTGTGAACTCCTGACATTCCTTCTGCCTCAGTCTCCTAAGTCCTGGAATTAGAGGTGGGAGTTGCCTCACTTGGGCACATTTGCCTGTTTCACCAACAAAGATATAGTTTTCAAGTCAGTGCACACTGTGAGTAGGAAATGGCTACGTGGAAGCACCTTCAGACACTGCAGGTTAAGTTAGTGCTGAGATGAAGGTAAGGTTATAACTGTACTGTATGTAGTTGTAGTTTTAGATAAATACAGCTAGCAAGTACAGTCACTTCTAAAGGTAATGCTAAAAAAATCACTAGAGTATTGAACTCTGTTTCACACTTCAAAAATAGTATAGTCTTTCACAAAAATCTGAAACTTGTTTTCTCAATTATGTGTATAATTTCAGCAAGAGAAAAACAGTCTGAAATAACTGCAAATTGTTAACGTTGCAATTGTTCAAAGCCATCTGCTGTTCCATTTGGAAGATAGCTGTCTGGCAGCTGCATTGAGAAATGTAGGGTTTCAGCTTTTGTAGGTCAAGCAATTCATTTAAATTAGTTGAAACTCAGCAACTGATTTCAATTCTAGTTTTCTATCAACCAAATAAAAAGTCTTTCCAGCTCCAAACACACAGGTGTCTGCATCATACAGTGATTTCCCAAATCACTGCTTTTGTCATAAGTTTGCTTGTTTATCTCAATTCAAACCCTAAAATAAATTGGAATGCTGTCAAATATTTTTGTAACTTTTATTTTGAAAGTGTATTCTTAAGAGATTAAATAATATATAACATGTACTAAATAAGTATGCTCATGTCCAGAAAAGCTCTCTAGTTACAGCAAAGCAATTGATAGGAAACTCATGCTCCTTTTATTTTATCCCTGGCTCTACTTAATATTTTTACCTCATTTTCACTCTAACCTTAACTTCAAATATAACAGAAATAGGGCCTTTTATAAGCATGTTGCCATATGTCTTTTGATGATCCTTAGTTACAAGTTGTTGAGATAACAGCAAAAGAACCACAACTGACCTGATCATCATTAGTAAAATGCTAATTAAGAGATCAGAATATGGGGCTGGAGAGATGACTCAGTGGTTAAGAGCACTGACTGTTCTTGCAGAGGCCCTGGGTTCAAATCCCAGCACCCACATGGTGATTAACAACTGTCCAGTGGACAGTTCCAGGGGATCCAACACCCTCTTCTGACCTGTGGGCATTGCTGACACGGGTGTGCTTACAGACATGTAGGCGATACAGTTGTACCCATAAAATGAAAATAATAAAATATTTTTAAAGACATCAGAATATAACAATATTGATTAAACAGACAAGTGGAAAATTAATATATACTCGATTGACTGGCTGACTTTTCCACCTTGTGGTCTAATAAGAAAAGCAGTAAACAGGTACGCATTAATGTGAGAGAGCTGCTCTGTCTGTCACTGAGTCAGTGCTGATTCCATCTGGTCATAAGTGAACTATATTTCATACAATGTGTGATACTTGTAGACGCTAACAGACCTTTTTGTGATCCTAAAGAATCTTCGAGATTCTTTATTTGAGACCCAAATAGAAAGGGAGGAGGTGGCCACTTGGGCAGAATTTCTTAGGACAAAATTGGCCTCATCTTGACCTTAACCTCTCCGAGTCAGATGTCCCACAGGCCCAGCCTTGATCAGTCATGTTGGAGCACTGCAGGTGACAGTGGTGAAGGGCAGAGCCAGGACCTGACCCAAGTCTGGTGCCAAAGTCAGTGTACAGATCAGATTCCTTACAGCAAGGTAATCATGTCGACCCTTGCTTTGGGGAAACCCTTTAAAGACTGTCAAATTATAAACTAAAAAGTTTGGATCAGATGGTGTATCCAAGAGTTGGCCCTGTGGTCTGGATACCAGTGTTACTGAACTGTAGTGACCTGTGGCATCATTAAGGCACTGGCTTCCTCAATATGGGGTCAGACTCTCTGGGCCATAGCTGAAGACATTCTCTTGTAGAAGTCTGTAACATTCACCCAACTACATCTTTTCTGCCCGGGCAGGACTTAGTAGGCTGTTCTTTTGATTTTCCAGCCTTCACAAGTGCTCTTCCAGTCTTCTGTGCTTCTGCTGTGGACACCTCAGCAACTACCTTAGCTCAAGTATGAGGACACTGTTTTTCAGCTCCTACACACAATTACTACATATAGTTTGAAACACTGTATTTTTTACATTTTATATGTAGAGCTAGGTATCTAATGATTACCCAGATCTGTGTGTATTAAATTATAGTCATGAGCTTCCATGAAATTTACACTTATAGGCATTTATATTTTCTCAGAATCTTATTATCACATGACTTCTTTATATGCTTTTTTTTTAACTGGGAGGTTATCCAGGTTTTTAGTAGTCTATGTCTATTCTCTGCTAAGATTTAGAGGGACCACTTATATAGAATTAGCAAGAAGGAAAAATCATATTGATCTAGTAATTAAAGAAAATATTTAAGTCTACTCCCTCAGTGCCTTATTCAGTAAAAGATTCAGCTCCATACTGAGTTTCATATTCATAGCTCTTTATATATGTAGGTTTCGTCTTGTTTGTATTTGAATTTTCTTCCCTCTTAGAGAAAGATACATTCTAACAGCCCTGAAGATGAATTGTGTGCTTTCTTCTTTAAAGGCATATTTTTTGAACATGTAAAAAGGAAAAAGAGATAGAAGCCTTCCAGAGAGTATGATGTAATGGCGGGCACAGTGGCTTTCTTCAAGCATTGAAATGCCATTGCTGTGCTTTTGGTGCTGCCCCTTGAGGTAGGGGTATTGGTCAGGGCTCACTAGGAGAGCGTCTCACTCCCGGCAGGAGAACATTCTTTGGAACAACCGGTACCACTTGTCGAATATACTCATGTGATTCCTGAAAATAATTTCCTTAAAAAGAGCACTACTGAGATTGAAATTCCTCTTGACATTCTTATTGAGTAAATATCAAGGAAAATTGAAACAAAATGCCTTTATAAAATACTGAAATTGGAAAATTTTGACATTTTGTGGAAGATCAAGTTCAATAGCTGCCCTTCTTTTCAGACTTACTTCAGTAAATATTTTTTTGTGAATAAGGAGCCTTTTCTTAACAGCTGGCTATGAAAAGTTGTTTCAAGTTTCCATAATTTTTTGAAATCTGATGCTTAAGACAGAATGCCCCTAATAGCAATGTGGCTTTCTTTGTATAACAAGTACACAATCAGACAAATTGTGTAACTGTGTAACTAGGCCTTTCCTTTCTGCTGAGGTTACCAGAGACATTTACCACAGGCTAAATATAATCCTGTTTCATGAGGCCTCTACCAAAAATAAGAAACAATACCCTTTAAATGATTATTATATTTATGTTATCCAAGTGAATTATTTTCCCTGCACACATGCTTTATTGGTTTCAGGGAGACCACACATTTCGTAAATGTATCTTTCCTTTAAAAGTTTTGTTTCTCTTGGGTCAGGGGTAGTAGGTGCAGGCCTTTAATCCCAGACTGCATCTGAACTTTTGCTATATCAGTGCTGTCAGAATGTTTTAGGAAATCTATAAAAGCTCTTGTTTTTTTAAACATGCTTTGAGCAAAAAAAAAAAAAAAAAAAAAAAAAATTAAAGCCCAAAGCATTTACTTTTATTTCACCCTTGCAGTGCAGTAAGAAGCAGCCAGCTCACCTTGTGGTTTCTGCTGTCACTCTGAGATGTGACAGTTACCACTGGATCCGCAGAAAGGCATTTCTTTAGGTCACCACAGTGATCATTTAAATGACTGGGTCATTGACTGTTAGTAACAGCTCACATTTAGCATTCATCAGAATGACTTAGAAGGCTGGTTATAGCACACAGACTGCCAAGGCCCAGACCCAGGCTCTCTAACTTAGAAGTTCTGTATTGGGACCCAAGAAATTGTATTTTTAACAAGT